GCAAGACACTTAACCCAACATTGCTCCTGTAGCTGCGACTACAGTGTATGAATATTAGTTACTGATGGCAGGTGTCACTGTGTGTGGTTCTCCTGTCATCAGTGTATGAATGGTTTTGAATGGGTGAATGATGTCATGTAGTGTTAAAGCGCTTTGAGTGGTCAGAAGACTAGAAAAGTGCTATACAAGTACAGTCCATTCCATTTGTCGAGGCTATGAACTAGTTTTAACTAATTCAAAGCCTTTTTTGAATGGCAATATGACTTAAATTATACATGTATCAATAAATACAATATTTTTCCCCAATTCTACAACATCAAAGTGGGACATTTTTTAATACACTTAAGAAAACAATAAGTCAATAAGAAAACATAGGATTTTGTTTTGCGGTCAGCGTCAAAAATGTCTTTTACCACAAATCACTTTCCGTAGTATCTAGTCATGGAGTTTGTTCTACTGTATTGCCATTTCATATCTTGTAAGCAGCCGTTGTTGATTAACTACAACCATTCAGCTTCTTAATGTGGGGTTATAAATAAAAATTCACAGCTCCCCAGAGCTTCTCATTGACACAATGTACCACAAGAGTCTTTTCAGTAATACCACAAGACCAATGAAAATGTAGATCAGTGGATAATGATACATTTTCTAATATCTACTAATGGCTAGGTACACAAAAGGTTACAATTCAACAGTTGGAGGCCAGTAGTCAGTTATTAGTTATTAGTTTACAAAAAAATGGAAACAGCGGCATTGTGAAGCTTGCATGATCAGCACCCTGGACAGCTACTGCAAGCGGCTCTCACACATATCTATTACTCGGTCATAGTAATAATACACCAAACAAAACCCGATACTTTCAACCACCTGGAAATAAGTGAGGAAAAGTACTTACAAAAAATCATGAAAAAAGATAAATGTGACCTACTTACTTACACTTACCAAGAAGGATCTGAAGGACATGCATTAGTCCATTTTACACCGGGTCTTTGCTTGTCATATTAGCTGTTCATAGAACCCTTTCCTGATACCCTAGCTTGTCCGGACTTTTTGTTGACATATTGTCAAATAATGATGAGATCTTGAGATCTTTTTCTTCCGATATTGTGCATGAATGGGGTGTATTGCTAATTTATTAAGTGTTTAATCGAATTACCCCTCTAGTCACAGCAAACCTGAGGCCTGTTAGATTTGCAGCACTATAGGGCTGGTTGGTTTCTCCAGCTTTCGGCAAAATGTGCTTTCATGTTCTGTCATGTGTCATCTGCTCAGTGCTTGATGGGAGCTTGAAGGCGTCTGACTACACGTGCAGTGAAGAGAGTGGTACCATTTTCACCCTGAAGCTCCCTGAAGGAGTTCTTTCAGCTATGGAGTCAGAAGCGGGACAAAACAACAGAGGGTGGGGGGGTGTCATAGCAAGCCATGGTATTCACAACTCAAATTTGTATGCAGGAAAGTTCGTTTTGTAATTGCCCATCGCTGCTAGGCAACGGCAATTACAGTTTTGACGCCATGCAACCCGGCGCCACAGGCCTGCCTTATAAAATCTGACACATAACAGTGGGGAACAACAAGCGCAAGGTTGTCACCCGAGGGACACGTCCACACGTGACAAAAGGGGAAAGATAATTTGATTTACTGTTTAGTCGTGCGACCTCTGTCAGACTTGCAGCCATACACAGCCGTAGGACACATGAAGATTAACTACAAATGAGCCTGCTGAGCTGCCGGGGGCGGAATATTCCGGAAAACAATTTGTGCTATCATTTAGCAGGAGACGTCAGTTTGTAAAATGTGTTCCATGGCGGATTTTTGTATCTCACTTATATTTTTATTTTATATATTTTCTTGACCAATGAGTCGGCCACATGAAGATAGCGGCGCCCACTTCCAAAAAAGCATCTCAACCACCAGAACCAAGTTTGTTGAAGGTATGTCGCAATGTGGAATCAGATGATGAGACAAGTGATATTTCTGATCTTTCAAATCAATTGTAATTCATCTTTTTAGTAGCGCTCATGTTGTTTGATTGTAGGGGCTTTATTAATCAGAGCAATCCCTGTCTCTATTATGTGTGTGTGTGTTCCATCTCTATATATAGGTGTTTTGTGCAAGTGGATTTGTGTGATTGTGTTTCTTTGTCTTCTGTGAGGCACAGCCAGTAATTGATACGATCAAACGCTTTTGTCATTTATGAAAAACCTCACTATCAGATGAAACTGAACAGAAGTCTAATCTTTCAACAAGATTAACAAAGAGCAGACTACGTTCAAAAATAAATAACTGAAAAAGGAACTAAGATTTAAAAAAAATGCGTAATCTCTTTGCTCATCAAAAAAAGTAATACATAAGCAGAGTATTTATGTAACACAACACCACAATTTACATTGCAGACTAATTAAAACAATGAAGACCTTTCCCGTGGAAACATTTTTATCTCCTAGAGATGGAATCAGCAGGAACAGGATTAACACACAATGGTGTCCATGTCTTATATTTCCCCTTTGATACAACTGATAGAGATAGTCAACAGATAAGGTTGCATTGATCTAATCATCTCAACGTTAGAATCATATACACTGTCTTGAAAAATGACAAATAATCTTGCAGGCATATATAGCACGTTTACCGTGCTTGTTTGTCTGGTTCATAATCATGCATCATCATCATCGCTCTAAAAGTTTAATTGTCACAAATCCATAATGTCAAACAGATGAAGCACCCTCTTGAGATCGGACATTTTCTGTATAAGCATCCACTTTTCAGGGTTCTTCAACATCAGAGCCCTTTTGAAGCCAAGGGGAAGGTGATGGAGATTCAACAGGGACTTTTATCCTATTTCTATTTGCGTGTTTTCCTATTTCTCGGCTGTTTAGTGGAGCAGTTTCAGACCAAAGTTGTAATTATAGTATCGCGTGGCTGTGACGGAGCAGGAGGAGGAACCAAACGCCGAGCTCCAAACAAATAAAGTACTTTAATAATCAAACTCAAAAATGGCGAGGGGAAAAAAACGCAGACAGGTACGGGGACCAGGAACTCACAGGTACGGGAACCACATGGCAAAACATTCAAGATACTTGGTAAGACATACAATGACGTGACAAGGGACAAGAGACAACAGACACACATGACGTTTTAATGCTAAACGTCTAAAGACTAAACCATATTCTATAGATTTTTGGAAATAATCACATCTAGTTTGTATTATATACATTTGCATTGATCGTAAATGTTTGGATCAGGAAAGTCATAAACATTGACTCAGTGACCACTGCAATCTTTTTCAATGAATAGTATCCCACTATTGTCACCCTAATCTCTGTTTTTTCCTGTGTCTTTTTGTGTGTGTGTGCCTGGCATTGGGGGAAAGGAGGGGGGCCCCCGACCTGGTCTCCCCCTTGATTTGGGTTCATCCACTCTAGCTGCCTTCCATCTACTCAACAATATGTTTACACCTCCACCCTTGGCCAGATTGTAGCGCTGCCTCTGTGTTGTGTAGCTCGCTCCGGTCTGGTCCGTCTGAGTTCTCCCAGTAAAACCTGTTTTTCGGGGGGGGCGCGGCGGGGTTAGGTTTCTTTACCGATGAAACAGAGGATGTCACATGTGTGCAGATTGTAAAACTATTGAAATAATTGGGCTCTACAAAAAGAATTGATTTGAATCTAAATCATTTCTGTACCTGTCTGGGTTTGTAATATCGGATATTGTGGGTTTTCTCGCAAGTTAACCACAACAACCCCAGCACCGCTACTCTGCCCCTTGGAGCGCTATGCTTTTTTTTTTCAAGCCCGTTGCTTGAAAATGGCATATGCGTAATAAAAATTTTCGGAATCGCCTGAAAAAAAATCTCTTGCCGGGCATCAATCCCTATAAAAGATGGTGATACCATGGTAACAACACATCTACCTGATAGCCCAGTGTGTGGACAGTACGTATGTAAAGTGTTACGTAGATACAGGCCAGATACGGCGGGATTTCAGGATTCTCTCCAATCTCAGCCTGTGGTTGCTCGTTATATTTGTTCGTGATGAGTAGAGAATTTTCGTGTTCGAAGTTGGTTCTGGCTCAGTTTTATGCCTAGAACTATTCGACTCCACTGCACATGCTTCTATTACGTTCCTATTTCAATAAATACACTATAAATACCTGTAATGTGTTTTTATTTTCTATTTAATACATGTATATTAACACGTTCTGCGTTTTTTTTATTGTAATTTATATATTGAGCTTTTTTTTTATTTTATATTTACTGTGTAACCTTACCTGCTGCTGCTGCTACACACAAATTTCCCTCTGGGAATCAATCAAGTATACATAAATCTATTTATCTACATCTATGCTAGACATCAATTTATCAAATATTTTCATGAGTCATTTGGTTGTATATTAGTGTGGCAGTGGTGAGCTGAAGAAGAGGAGCCTCTCAAAGAAACAGTTTTTTCCAAAATCAAAAGAACAAGACAAAGTCATGAGACCAGAGTGGGTCATCTTTTGATTTTGAACTAAGAACTGGAAAAATAGAATGAATCATGCTTCATTAATATTAAGAAATGATGATCAGTTGAATGAGAAGTCAGATTGCACTATTTTTCTTAATTTTATTTTGAGTCCATGTTGCAAATGAAAGCCAACACACTCAGCCAGACACTTTGAGAGAGCACAATGTCTCATATGCATCTTAATAACTTGAAATAACTCAAATGCGATCATTGGGTAAAAATCAAAAGAATTTTGGGCTGGGCCCCCAAAGATTTTTTGCAGAGTGAACCCCCTGCTCTTTAAAGGGATACTTGGGAAATTTACAGTAGAGTAGTACAAAACAATGGACACACAAATCAAAACACTTGATGTTCGGACCCAATGAGACAAGTTTCCAAATCACTTCATCCTACATCACCCATAATGCAATCTATAGGATCCTTTTTTAGTTCCTCTTCACTCGGCGACTTTTGATTGTGCGCAACTTGACAACTGTTTTAAGAAAAACACACACATCCAGCGATATTTATAAAAATATATTTCACAAAGTAGGAAACAATACAGGGTATCTTAGATTACAGTACAGGGAGTAAATAATTGAACATACACATTTATAAGCATTAAAGCACAGTACAAAATATGATCTGCGTGTAGGACTATTCCATATATATTGTTTAGTCTACTGAGAACTGCCATAATACTGTATCAGTACAAACTGAGTATGCACGCAGCTGTAGTGCCATTGAAATTCCCATTATGTGCAAGAGCTAACGTGCAGAGACAAATCTACCACCTCATTGAAAGCTAATGACGTTAGCAGTAACTCTATGTACAGAACAAGTCTTTTATTATTGATATCATACAGTGTAAGCACAATATGCACATGGTCTGGATTTGTGTCCTTTATTTTTCCTCGGTGATGCAATCTGCGTATCCTAAATGAGATTTGATGTCTGTCGAGAGTCGAATACTCAGGTATCAATTGGACTATTGTGCTCAGACGCTCACTGGCTGTACCTCAGGATATATTGCGAGATATATTTTACACAGAATCAGCATGTGTCAGAAAGGTCCCATTCCTGCAGTCCCAATTAATTCAATTTTCCCCATAGTTGCGTTTAGTTAGAGCTCTATTCTGCTTGCTTATCTAGTCTATAGTTTCAACCGCAATAGATGACGTGGTCTGGCTGCTGTGAAATAGTGTTCAAGTGGTTGAAAAAACAGCTGAATGTGAAATTATCGAAACACATTCACTTCAAATTGTCAGCACAGGGTAAAACAAATTAAAAGATTTAAGAACAGAAATACAAAAACTTCATACAACGATAATGAAGAATTAACACATCACCAAAAAAAAACTCAGTAGATTACAATTGTATTTAACGTTGCTTCTGTAAAAAGAAGGCCTCAGAGTTTCTACATTTCTCTTTTTTGTCTTCACGTCAGTCTTTTATAGGCTAGTAACACTTGCGACCCACACCGTGTAGCGTGTAAATACAAAGAGTTGTATAAAGCAAGCCTCTCTGGCCTTTATAGTTTACAAAGGTGGCAACCAGAGAACATATCAAATGCTAACAAATTCACCTAAAGCCAATACTGGTTTGTCTTTTTGCTTTTCTTTTTTCATTTTTTTTTTTCAAATCACACATACATTCATCATTTTAATGTAGACCATATATTGCTTTTTCATTGTCATTTCGTCTCACAACACCGATCGGCTGGGTGGCTTAGGGAGACGTGAAACACGTGTCCCTCTGCAGCTCCTGAGGTCCAGCTTGCTGTCCAGGGAGCATGGAGTGTCTGCTCAAGCTTCAGAGAACCCGGCGTTATCCGTGAGTTCCTTTCATCGGGCAACCACCAGCGATCTCCCGGGGTTTTTCCTCGACCGGCAGTCACAGCAAATGACTAACACCCAAAACACTGCTAGACACTCCACAACGAAATCTAAGATACACTCCACAAGAATCATAGATTTCCTAGGAAAGACATTGTTCGGCTCAACAATTACAATGCGCTCGACGTAGTGGATGGCAATTGCTATACCTTACTCTAACAAGAATACAAAAAGGTGATTTTTTTTTTTTTTCAAACACCTGTTTCTAAAAGCCAGCAAACCCCCTAGCATTTGATACACAAGTATGTGGACGTAAAAGAAATCAGAAAGGTCTTTTTGTCTAACAAACCAAAGGTCAGGTCTCGCGGTCGCTCTCGCCCACAGAGTAGAGCTCCCCAAGTCTTCTGAAGCGCGGGCCCCACTCCCTGAGATAGTCATAGTTCTGGTCCGAGTCCGACGACGCCGTCTCCAGTGAGCTGAGGGAGCCGGCAATGGATCCCCGGCCCTCGTATCCGTAGATCTGGATGGAGTCATAAGGCGGAGCCGTGGGATCGTTGTCGGCCTCGTGGAGCCGCACGTTGATGAATTCGTCCACGTCCACGCCGTTCGGGCCCGAGTGCTGGCCTGCACGGGGCATGAACTGCAAGTCGGGCTTGATGTCCTTGCGCGGCAGGTAGCCGTTGATGCCGTCCGGGTTCTGCAGCGTGGCGATGTCGAAGGCCTCCGTGTCCTCCTCGCCACCTCCTTCGTCATCGTAGCGGATAATGTTCTCCCTGACATCCTCGTCATCCTTAATAATCAGAGGCTCATTCTTGTGTCTCCTCAGGGTCACAAAAAGCACTACTATTACTGTCAGAAAGACAGATGGAAAGAAAAAAGGTAGAAAGAAGAAGAAGTCTAGGTCAAGTTTTTGACAAAAGGAAGCACGTCCTCCGTTGAGGTGACATAACGAAAGAGTTAATGTACATCTGTCAAACCAATTGACCGATATTACACCGCAACAAAGAAATACCTCACCTAACAGCAGTATAATGCAGGCCAGGATGGCGATGAGAGCCCCCATGCTAAGACCGATGGGTAAGACGTAAGCCTCTACGTTGCAGGACTGGACGATGCCGTCCTTACTGCACCCGCACACTCGGATGGTCAAGGTGTTGGTGCTGCTCATGGGCGGGTTGCCGTTGTCCGTCACAATGATTGGCAGGAAGTACATCTCCTGCTTCTGTCGCCGGAAGGTATCGTGCTTGGCCAAAACACTGATTGAATTGTCTGTGAGAGAGAGAGAGGGAGAGAGGTAAAGTGGCATTCTTACATTCCTGTGCCGTAGCTGGATTCTCACCCCCTTCCCCTTTTTTTTTCTTGATACTCCAATTTGGGAATTCCGGGGTAAAATCTGGAAAGGAATTCCTGGAATCGACCGCTCCCTCTGCTCCCCCGCCCTTTGAAAAGCTGAAGAAATGAAGGGACCGCGGCAGGCGACCCAGGCTTAGAAGATGGCACATGTCGACCCAGAAAGGTGCCAGCTGCTCTTTGATGACACTTCTGTGAAGCTGTCTGCTCATTAGCTGGCTCTCCTTACCCTGCTCACATTATCAAACACTTGCATCCACATTAGAATCCACCCCCGCTGATCTCATGGAAAACGTACAAGACTCCCAATGGTCTAACCTTTGCCTCTGCTTGAGGGTGCACCGAGCAGGGAGGGGATCCGGTGCCATCGAGAGACGGGCCGCGCTGACAGAACAAACTTAATCAAAGGATGCGATGCTACATGATGGAAGTATTTACTTTCCACGATCTGTAATTCATGTGAGCATATGCTCAGATTTATTTTCATACGAGTGCTGCCACAAAGTGCTACGCTCTGCTTTGCGAGCACCAAACGTGTCCTGTTTCATTCGGATCATTCAGCAATGCAGAGCACAAACCTCTCTACTATCCCGGATAACAACCATTGGGGCTTGTCCTTTTGAGCAGTTCATTTTCATTTTCTTGGTGACTATTGATGTTAAAAATAGAATCAAACCTTTCGTTCCCGTCACTTTTTTCAAGAAATAAAATCTGCAACTCAAAGAAAAACCGTTGTACTGATAACCCCTTATTGCTTTTTCATATTAGGGCACATTAAATGTCTTTCATCTAGCGACTGATGGATTCAGATGAAAAAGAAAAATGGTGGACATTTAAAATATTAATCATCCACGTACCAAAAGCAGAATACATTCTCTTGCTATTAATAACTTAATATGTAGGAAGTTTCCAAATAACGACAGTGACAGAAGAAGGGTCACCAACCCTATGAGAATCTTTCTGCCCTTACTCAAGTCTTTTAAGATTATTCGAACCACGATCATCAAAATATTTTTCTGTACCAACTGATTGGAAAAAGGAAAGTGTTTTTTCTTCCCCCTTTGGGTACCAATCAAAGTAAATGCTGTAGAAGAGATATTTCAGTCAAACCTGAAATATGGGCAAAGAAATTGTAGGTACGAACGAATGCTAAAGGCTGACACGTTGTCCTTGGTAGACAAGACAGTGATAAAGTCACTGAACTGACTGACGGCTGTGTCCCTCTTTGTTTGTTGAGTTTGCCAACATAAGCCTGCACAGGGTTCTGGTCACCAGACCAGATTAGGACGCGTCTGCATTTTGTCGGTCTTCTGAAGACCTGAATAACAGCTCAGCACAACTTCATTGTTGGCAGCGAGTACAGCCTGTTGTCTCGATCACTGGCCCGCTCTGCTCTACTGCGAGCTCGCCTGCTGAAAGCAGCCTCGTCAGGGTGCTCGATATCTTGTGTGCAGCCGGTGGGAAGCTCAGCCATCTTCCTCCGTGTGGGCGGCCCGTAACCTCTTCACTGTGCAGCCCCTGCTATTACACTAATCATCATAAACAAAAGAAAGCCACCGAGGCTCACGGGAACATGACCCTTTACGCTGAAGTGTCTCTCACAGCTGCCGATTCGTATAGAAATAGTCCATGAGGTCCTGGGGGACACGGTGCAAAGGAGCATTCTTTTTTCTGTTGGAATTAGCAATGCCATGGACCTGTGTTCGCCGCTGTGTGCATTGAGAGCTGAACCACGGAATATATTTACTGTGGTTTCAGGCAGATGATGAAAAGATTATGGCGTTTTTTTGTGTGTGTGAAACATTTTCCAGTGGCGGGTTTATCTTTTAGAATCATCTTAAGAAACTATTAAATCTCTTCTTGACAAAGGGGCAAGGTTCAGGAACGTGCACGTTTAATGCGCTTTTAGGTTGATCCGCTGTTAATACTGAGTACCTTAGAGAAAGCCTGTGCCTGCTAAACTCCCATTTACATTTAACTTTCTACTTTCTACTTGTGTGTGTGTGTGACAGAACAAAATCAAACAAGTGTTCCTTTGGTTACTGTGCCACTGCCTGTGATTATTTAATGACCTGCCTGCTTTTGTACCTATTTTACAATTAAAAGCTTTTCGTACATTGGTCAAAAGACTGGCTAGTCCATTTGATGACCTGATTTTTACGGACTCATGCAGTAAATTAGCCTGCAGTCTCAGTCAGAAACAGAAGGCTATTGCCATACGAAGATGATCTGCCCCAAGCTGAAAACATTACACGATGTCATCATGAACACAGCCTGTTCCGAGCCGGTTGTGGAGGAGAGGCAGGAGAAGGGGAATGAAGACAAACGGGTAAATAAACCAATTTGAGTATTTAGAAAATAAATTCGGCACCATCTGCCGTGCTGCAACCCGGCTCCTAGGACGTCACCGTACACTGAGCTACAAGACTACCGGGGAAAAGCCATTTGGATCCCATTCATTTAGCTTCCCTCTAAACTCTGGGAAGTAAAAAATGTCCACACAATTCCACATCTGCTAATTGTGATCTAAACTGAAGCACCAGATTGCGTCTCAAGCACGGCTAACACGGGCCGGTTGGAGATGGAACTGTAAAGGCATTGGACAAATTGACAGAATTTGGTCACCTTGGTTGTTCTTGATGGTGAAATTGGGGTTGTTGAGCATCTCCGGGACCAGACGGTAGTCAAAGTAGTGGCCCTGGATTGGGTCGTCTTTGTCCACCGCGCTGACAGTCTGGATCACCTGCATTGAGATGCGACAAGATATACAGAGGAGGGCTCAAAGTCATTACAGGAGGCCGCCTATTCATTACTCAGTTTTTCCTGCCGCAGATTGCCTCAGTCTAATACTGGCTGGATCACGACTGATGAAATATATGCCCTATTCATTCCTAGAGTTTGAGATTATTATCAATGGGGTCCTGTCTAGTCTGGCGCACTTTCAGCCTGCTGGCTCTATCTGTTAATCTGTCATCATAGGTCTTATCATGCACTACGTCTCTATGATTGATTGGAAATTAGAATTCTGGCCCTGCAGGACGGTTTCCCTTTTTTTTTTGTAGCTCCTTTCAATAGTGCTTCCGATTGTACAAACACAGGCCTCCTGAATGAGGTCGATTGATGAGAAGGAGAATAAGTAAGTACTTGTCCAGAAATGTTGGCTGGGGGAGGCATTGAGCCATCTGGAGGTGGACATGAAAGGCATATTGAATTATGATCCATTCGGATCAATCCTGACTGCTCTCATTTCCCATTTGCTGTCAAGGAGGGACTGTTGCAGGGTGTGTTTGTGTGTGGGGGTGTTTTACTCCCACCTCTGTGGTTTCCCAGTGAAATAAGTAAGCCATAATTCACTGTGGACAATCATTACAGGGGAGGAGTGAGATACAGGAAGAAAGGGATAGAGAGAGAAATATCTATGTCATTGGTTTGATGAATGAAATGAAAGTCTTTCCTTACCTGTCCAGGTTTTCCATTTTCACACAGGAAAGCCTCGTATTCAGTGGCAAATTCAGGGGCATTGTCATTAATGTCCATCACTCTGATGGCCACAATTGCTCTTGATATCTGACTGTGGTTTCCTGGTGTGAAGTAGATGAATAGTAGAGAGAGTGAGAGAGAGAGAGAGAGAGAGAGAGAGAGAGAGAGAGAGAGATCATAAAAACATGCTAAATATAAACTTTACAAAATAACAAGGTTACACATAAAATCCCAGGTAAATGTTGTGACCTAGTTTTAATTTCCTTTATTTCAATCTTTATTTCACCCTTCATTTCCTGAGCTGATGGGAGGACGGATGATAAGCCACATCAATCTACATTTCAGCTGGTATCAGCGGTGCAAAACAGTATTCAAGGCAACAGAGGAGGAAAAAAAAGAAATCCTATTTAAAGTGCTTTTCAAAATCCCCTGTACACTGTAATGTTTAAAACATGAGGGTTAAAACATGCATATTAATGAGTCATTGGCAACTGAAGTTTACAGAGACAATAAAAATGCTGTTTAATTAGATTAGATTTTGATTGGAATTATTCATCAGTGTTAATTGACAGTCCCTTTTGAGTGTCCCCATCAGCGGTTGTATTTATTAACCAGTAGTGCAAATGCCAACTTTTAAACCAATTACGTATTAATGGGGCCCCAGTGTCAATGGGTCCAATGACACCGGTGTATTTTTGTTTTCTATGCTATTGATTCATTTAATCTTTTAGCATTAACTGTCACCTTATTGGACCAATTATACGTGAAGGGCCTTGGAGATTTTGTCATTGAATCATAGGGCCTTTTCAATCATAGGAACTGTATGTAACTGTAAGCTGTAACTGTATGTGTAACTGAGTTTCACTCATTTTTCCAAGATTATCTGCCAATATCTGCTTGATACACATAACAATGTTCATGGGAAAAAGTCAAATGTAGTGTACAATGAGTACAGGTGATGAAAGTCGGCAAAAAATATTAAGATAGAATAAATGTAAGGTATGCTAACATTAGCTTTCACACAGTACGCTCCTTGTCATACCAGACTATTTGATAAACCAGGAATATTCATGGCTGTGCATGTGTCCAAATATCTGAACTATGCTACTTATTGCCTCTGAATGAAACTTTCTTACTCTTCTTTCAAAAGTCAAATAGTTCACTTTATTTGGCACTTTTAAAGTAATAAAAACGGTGGGTTTGCCTTTTCTTTATTCAAATCTCAAATGCACCCTACACACTTTGACGGGTTGAGAGATGAGTTTAAGAAGTGAGCAGTGGGGAGAGGAAATTGACAGTCTGATAGACAGTGATAGATGGATTAAGGCAAAGGGAGAGAGGTACACAGGCTCCCCCTGCCCCCCTTCAAAAGTGACTTTCCCCCCAGCAGCAGACAGGGAATACACTCTGATTAGTCAGATGTCAACTGGTGCGAGGCGGCGGAACGCGCCTCCGTTTGGGTGGCAAATGGCATCAGGATAGAACATCGCTATTCCTCTTCACACCAGAGCAGACATCGGCTTCCCTGCAATCCGTGAAGAGGAGCAAAACTGCCTGATTTATTTTGGCAAATTCCTATTAGGTAATCTCAAGCCAGTTACTCTCCCGGCAGGCATAAGCACACTGTGAACGTATGGGTGCGTAAAATGACGAGGCTTATAAAATGATTCCTCCACCGGGCTGCCGCGCCAAACGTTGTGACAGCGCTTAGGCTTTCGTTTACTGCGACAATTAATGTGTGTTTCCTTTGATTAGGGGAAGAAAGGGACGGACGGAAGATGAGAGACGGCAGGAGAAGGAGAGCGAGACGGAGAGAAGAAGAAAAATACAATTTACAAGCTGTGTACATTTCTATTCCAATAGCTTTAAGGGGTACATTAAGCTTTATCACAACATACAGACCCCCTGAAACAATCTGTATGCAAATAGAGCCGTACATATGGTTAGAGCTGTTTGCAACATTTTTACGTAGTCAGTGAGTTTGGCTGCTTCGCAGATGTTCTTTAATCTGTAATGGATGCTGGCGTTGGAGCAATCCACTCTGGAGCATGTCTTTAAAACTGTTTATTTGATACGTCTTAATGTCCTCGCACTTCCACAAATTGACTACTGAGCTGTTTAATTCAATCAAAACTCAGCAAATGAATGTAGATAATGCCTCTGTGGATTTCAGAGCTAATTGTTTGTGCCACTCGGGGAGCGATTACAAGGGCCGCTTTACAAAGCGCCATTCTGTCGAACAGAGAATTGTGGGTAGCAGGTCAGCGACTCTTTTGACGCGCAACCCGCAAAGTCGTTCAGAAGTCAGAGACATTGTACGTGACCAGCTGCACTTCCCACGTCTAAAAGACAATGTGCACGCTAATGAATGTCCAATGGCACTACGCTTTTCAAAACCAGGAAATCACGATTCCCAATGAGCCGCGCTCACCGCGGGGGAGCGGGAAGGGCGGAGTCAGCAGAGGTCACTTACTGACTTCGGTGGCGGTCACCGTGATGTTGTGCCACATGTCCGTCTCCCGGTCCAGCGGTTTGGCCAGCGTGATCTTCCCGTCGTCCACGTTGATGTTGAACTGCCTCTCCAGGTCTGTGTGCCGATCAATGAAATACCTGCGAAGACAATCTATCGTCAGAACTGTGAGCCGGGCCTCTTTGGCGAGCCTCCGCTGCTGCATCTTTTACCATCCTGTTTAAGTCCCGGCTCTCACTTATCCACAAGGAGACACCTGTAGATTATTGCACAGGACAAACTGTAGGAAATCAATAATCATCAAAGGAATAATTGCTGCTTTCACACAAGCAGAAGGGGGTCATTATAGCCTCACACGGCCCAAAGAGATCACAGCTCTTGCAGGAGAAAAGACCATTAGTACGCGTCGTGTCAGGGTAAGGGATGAGGTGTTTTTAACCCCGTTTGGGATCTGTCAACACTCTACGGCCCCCAAAGGCTTTGCATTAATGAGTTAGGACAGCACTGTGTTACACAGGAGCTTGAACCACAGAGGGTAGGCGGGAATAATGGATGTGATGGAGATGAACCAATGACCGGCCTGTTATGTGTGACCTTGGCTGATCTTAGGCAAAATGATTTTGTTTGCTTTTTCAAAGCTGCGGGGAGTTTGGGGTCCTTGTCAATGAAGCGGCACACGTTCCAAATGAATCGAACGCGGCCACAGCAGCCACAGCGGCCACAGCGGCCACAGCGGCCACAGCGGCCACATTTGTGAAGCGTTCTTCTTTCATGTTCTGGCTCAACCCCCGCATGAGATGCACTGACTGCTTGAAACTTGTACAGCGCTAAGTATACAGCGGCAGAACATAAAAAAAAAAAAATTACTACAACAGCGGGTATGAAATTGGAATGCACATAAAAGAGAATATTCCCAAGCTGTGAAATTGCTCCTTCAAGTTGCAGCACGAGCAACGCCAATTCTTGGGACGAGAATAACTAAAAAAAGACATCTGTCATCGTGGGTCATCTTTTCTTTCACGCCTTTAACTTGCCATGATGCGTGACTGTCACAAACATCCCACTCACCTAAAACACTGGGGCGAAGTGAGCTCATTGCCCCGCCGATTGCACGCGTGTTTCCGTACCTCCAGGACAAAGTGTCTCTGTTCCTTTTTCTCTCTCTGCCTCTCTGTCACATCTTCCCCTTACAATCTCTCCGCCCGCTTAAACGCACAACAGTGAGAACGTTTCTCTCTTTTGCCACTTGGGTCTCTTTCTAATCCAATTCCTTACCGTCTCCTTCCCTACAACGCCACCAGGCGCCCTGCATGGTGCTCCCTCTGCTCTCCTTGCTCCGCCTGCTTCCCCTGCTCCCCAGCTCTCCTTGCTCCCCAAGCTCCTCTTGCTCTCTTTGCTCTCCCTGCTCCCAAGCTCTCCTTGCTCCCCCAGCTCTCCTTGCCTCCCCAGCTCTCCTTGCCTCCCCAGCTCTCCTTGCTCCCCCTGCTCCTCTTGCTCTCCTTGCTCTCCTTGCTCTCGCTTCCTTCCTAACCCTCGGCCCTGTTCCATCCCGCAGTGCAACCGCTGGACCCAATCGGTGTGAACCTGTTGGCAGGAACCCTACGATGTTTCTATGGGAGCGACAGAGCAAAGAGATGGAAAGAGAAAAAAAGAAAGACAAAGTCACAATAACAATTTTGTATGAAGGAGAGTGCTGCTTACACACCAACGATAAGAAATGAAATAAATAAACCACTGGCCCAGATTCCAATTGTTGGGGAGATGTACCGAGCCATGACATTTCCATTTTTTAGATGAAATGGTGTAAAATCCTTTAGACGCCGGGCTGGAAGAGGTCCGTGAGGACCCCCCCCCCCACACCCGCTACCACCACCACCGACACCACCATCCTCTCTCTTTCTCTTTTTGCCCTGCAGACGCACAGCACTTTCAAGACAGGCAGACAGCAGCAAACCACCTGGGAGCCGCCTCTCTGCTGCAGACTGAGTGGATCCCAGTCAAACTCTGACAGCCTCACGTGGAACCGAGGAGACAGACCCTGAAATGTTCTGCCACCTGTCACTCAAGCTGACAGGGTGATGTGAAAAGAATTAAAAGCAAATAAAAAAAGTGGAAAAAATGATAGCCAGCGTTGTACGTGCGTGGTTTTCCTGAGTGTGCGAATGAGCGTCTCGCTGTGTGTGTGTGTGTGTGTTAGTGTGTCTGTGCATGTTGTCTCTTTTTTGAGACACCACTGGGCTGACTTCAGTCCAACGGTTAAACATCCAGACTGTTTGTAGCGAATATTGGAAAGCAGCGAAGCGTTTTCGCATACCGACGTCAGAATATATTCAACCTCAATAATCTGCTAATCAAAATGCATCAGTGAGACAGAGGACGTTCTGTGCATAACCATGAGCTGTAATCTGTGGGATCATTATTCATTTCTCTACTCATTTGCGGTCCTTCGGAGCGTCGACGCGGCGTCTCGGTGCTGAGTCTCTCCCAGATCAGCCGTCAATCAAACGGTGCAGCCAGGACATCCTCTCCGTTTGAGTTTCTGTGGGTGGCGAGCGTTTCTCTTTTTAGTCGCAGTGGCACCACTGCTCATCATTTTTCTCCCTCGTCACATAATGCAAAGGGTTTGCTGTAGATAAGATCTACCAGACCCTGTCAGCATTCAAGTTCTGTAACAAACAGTAACACCAATTATCAAAACGAATATTTTAATGTTAAAAAATCTTATTGAAGATGGTTTTTCCTTTAAAAAAAGAATATTTTGAAAAGACAGTTTATGTGTTACAAGCAGAAATTGTAATGGGCCAAACAGGGGACTACGCCGATGTGTGTGTGCAGAGAGGGCTCTATGTTTTATCTCCATGTCTGAGTGAATATGTGTGAGTGACTGGGTGTCTGTACATGCTGGAGGGAGAAGAGCTGAGAAGATGGAGAACATACATGTGTTTTATTCCTTTTCGTTATGCGCTGGGTCAATCCCACTGGCGCGTAAAATGAACTCATTTTTGCATTCCCCTGAATGCTGGCCAGCCGTGTTTTAACCTTGCATTTTGTGAAGGTCGGCCTTTTCAACTCACTCAAGACACAAATAAGAAAATAAGAAGTGTTGAAATATTTGGCCTTATAACATTAACATCTTAACATTAATATCCACTCATTTCACAACCAATGAGGGTCTTTACATGACAGCTTACATTTAAGCAGTGTGTTAGCGCTAACATAAGGGCGCCTCCAGTAAGAAGCAAGCTTTAAAGAATTCCATTTCTATTTCCCGAAAGAAGAAAGGAGGCGAGGGGGGAGAGAGGGGAGAGGGGGGGGGGGGGACTTGGGTTTTGGCACTGTTTTTCACAGCGTCAATATTTTGGACTAAAACACTGTTGCTGTGTTCCATCCTATGAAACAGCAGTTGGTGTCAGACAGCCACGCTGACTGCCAGATGTCACAGTGCTTTTTATTTGCGATCAGTCAGGTAGAAAAGGACAGAGCGCCGGGCTCCAGGGAGAGCCAATACTGGGGGAGCATTTCAGGGAATGCACCTGAAATGTTGTTGGTTGGGTGCATTAAGTACAGCTAAGGGGCTGTTTGTCTCCTGAGTGCCGAGGACATGGCAGCACACCAGAGCACTCGCCCCGAGTGCTTTCGACTCAGACTGGTTCAGTCCGGTCCGGCTGGAGGGGATGGGGGGGGGTCTAGACGGAGAGCGATTCTAATCATAGGGCGGGGGGGGGGGGGGATCGCCTGGAGAGCTTGGTCACATGGCGGTGAAGAGGAAAAGTCACACTCCTCCACTATGGATCCACCTTGCTTGACTACAGATGTCTTTTTTGGGCGACTCTGTCTCTTACCGATACGGGAGGGCAAAAAAGAGACAGTAGGCAGGAGGATAATTGTAGGATGACGAGCATGTGAGTCGGTTTGCTGGAAGTCGAGGGATAAACAGACTGCTATGTTGACTGACACAAACGCTACGGTTTACAAGAAAACTTCCCTTTTCACCAGTTCATTGCATAGATCTGAAAGATTTAGATACTAAATCAGTTTACAGCCAAAAAAAGGTTGTGGTTTTTCCTGCATTTTTCCTGCATTGTTATAGATGACTTCACCTACCCACAAGATATAAAAGACTAAATCGGTAAGTCGTTTATCAGGAAAGTGAAAGCTATTTTAATAACTGTTTATTCATATGAAAATCAAAAGGATTCTCCAGTGGGATGATTCACTGATTCTTTCAAATGCAAACTAAGCCTTTTAGTACTTGGAACGTTTCTTAGAAACAAGACACTTCAACACGCCACATTTCCTGGTTTTCTGATGAGAAGGTTTAAAGATCAAATGATTTAATTATTTAATCATAATAATGAAGAGGAATTGCAGCCCTGTGTGCTCTGCAAACAAACTCATCTTGAAAATCAAATTATTTGGCGGATTATCTGGTGAGGCTTATGTCCAGACTTTACATTTAGAATGCCATGTAAGAGGCCAGTATATCTTGTAAATCTCCCACACTGCGATCATTTCATCAGCCCAAATCTGGGAGTCATAGGAGGCTACACATGCTACGGGAAATCAAATGGTCTTTGGTGATGCATCATCTTACAGTGAGACCTCCTTAACAATAGTTTGCGTCACCTCATCCGCCACAGAAAAAAAACACTTGGGATCTTTGATAGATCACGCTCATCTTGAAGATTAGCGAGGGGGTGGGGGAAGGGGGGGGGGGGGGTGTGTGTCTGGACTTCAAAGAAAATCACATGTTGAGCCAAACGCTTTGGCCTGTGTGTGTAATCCTTGAGCGGTTTTCTCCCCACGCGCATCCGGTGGCAGATGATTAATGCAGCATTCTACCGGCCACTTACAACTTCCCCCTCTGTCTCTCATGAAATACAATTGAAAGTTTAAGGATGAATGTAATGAAATAATCCAACAGTTCTTTAGCACTTCATCATAATGCTCTATTCTTATTTGGAGCCCCGAGAGTCACAGAAAGCCCTCAAGCAACAATCCATTGTTCTGACTTCTCCACAGAATTGTAAAATTGGTGATTAAAAGCATAATGAAAACTGTGAGTGTAAGCGAATGACCTCAGGGCAAAAGAGAGAGAAGAGAGAGAGAGAGAGAGAAAGGTGAGCGACCTCGTGTTTGAAGATATTCAGCCTACGAGTCTGTTCTTTGTCCGCACTGCATCACGCTCAAAGTGTCCGAGACGGGACGTTAATATCAGTTCAGCATCACAGCAAGAAATGTGTGAAGGCATCATGTCAGCTGCGTACTGCCATCTGCGAGCACGCTCATTCATAATTTAGTGACATTTCGTTCGATAATGATGCACTAAAGGAGGAGAATAACTATAGTAGATGGTTGCATCTACAGTAATCTAAACATTGTGAGATTATCAAATATAGTGACACACATGGACTTTTAACCACTTAAGATCTTGCAAATTTCCAGCTCAGTCTAAATATGTTGGCATTGTACTTTTGCAGACTGTCTGCATAGTGTAACTGGGATTTGTTCACGCTACTTGTGATGTTACAGTTCACGCGGCCATTATCTTAACACAAAACACTATCTTTTTTTCTAACTCAGGTAGTTTTGTCAGTATCTAACTAATCGTTTCACATCATCGTCCCTGCCCTGTCGTGCGTTTCTGCAAGATTGACGGGAGAATGATGAAGTGTATTCATGAAATAACGGTGCGAAAACAGAAATGTCAACATTTGGCTCGTGACCGGTTTGCCATCGCCTTCATTATTTGCTGTTATTTCCCAGGGATAAAGACAGCAAAGAACTACATTGAAGGCTGCAATAATCAGTGGGATAATCAAGTTTACATTCATAAAGATGCATTTTGTCAAATAGTCTATCAGCAGCTAATTTGTTCATCATCTTTTTACTATAACGTTTACTAACTGAACGTGTCTGTATCCCCCTCTAACAAACAGCCCTGGTCCACACACACAGGAACCCTGTGACACGCACAAAGAACACAGAGAGGCAAAAGACGTCATTACACACGGAATGGACTTCTCTTTTTACCAGGGGAGGGACATCGTGCAACCTCTGGGCCCAATTCCTCCTGGCAATCTCATCAGTAAACATGAGGGATGCCACCAGAAAAGAAGGAGGAAAAAAAAAGAGAGGTAGAATAAACCGGCCCTGTGCTATGGCCTCAGTCAATCTACGAAACCAGTCTGCTCCCTGTTCGCCATGCAATTACACACAACCTGTTGAGTGTTTTTGCGAGAATGCGGTCAGCAAGTCGCTTGAGAATTAATGAAATGCCAAGATGGAGGGAGAGGAAATTGCCTGTATAACCTATCCTCAAGGTGCCCTTGTGGTATTTCCAAGTAGAAGTCACACAAGGGGAGAATATAGCGGGACCGGTCACGAATTGAAAGCGAAAAGTTACCTTGCTGTTAACTCATAATCTCCTGTCTTTGGATCTAAGGAAATGAGAGCAATCGGGTAGCAATCGGGTAGCCTCCTCGCTGCGGCAGACACCGCCACCGTTTCTCCAGAGGTCTCAGGCACCAAGCGATTTATTTGCATGCCTCGGTGTGAACTCTTTTATTAAAACAACTCATTATAATCTGAAAGGACCCATTGTTAACCTGTACTCTATAGCCCTTCTTTTTGCTCCTCAAGTTTTCTTTTCACCCAATCCAGCTCTGTTCCGTCAAGACCGTTCATGGTTGAGCAGTAAAGGTGGAGCTGCATCCGCCCATCCTACCTGACAAGGCTCCCAGTAGAGTCCGGATCCCTGGCTGTGACCGCCCCTATGACGGTGTTGACGGGGGCGTTCTCGTTCACTTCCAGCACGTACACGGGTTTGAGGAAAACCGGAGGTTCGTCCGAGTCCTCCACCACGACCTTCACTGTGGCCGTGTCTTTGAAGGGCCCGCCGCTGCTGGGCTCGGAGCGGACGTTGGTGGCTTCCACTCTCAGGGTGTAGGATCTCTTGCTCTCGTAGTCTATCGGCTGTAGGACAGAGAGAAGGAAGAGCACAAGTACTATCTGGTGTCTAAAAACATTTTGTTGGATCCCGGCTCCACTATTCCGTGTCGATGCGTGCCCAAGACACCCCAAATTTCACTCTCAACAGTGCCTTCGGTGTGTGAATGTTGTGCGAACGTTCGATAGTCCGGACGTGCAGCTTGAATGTGAGTGGTGACATTAAGTCCATTTAAAACTGCAAGCTTAACTGTGGAGAAAAATGACATTACAGAAACAGCCAATTTGCATTACAAAGGTTATGCAGTTTGTAAAAAAAAAAATCCTCATTTGCATCTTCTCAAAGAAAAAATTAGCATTTGCATTGATGCCAATTTTATAGTTTGATTTCCTCAAATGTGTAATTAAAAGCATCATTGTTTAAGATTTAAATATGTCTAAATGTTGCGCCCCCCTAGTGGTAATATCCCAACTCTGTACCCTTGTGTACACAATACCCCTGAGCTCAGATGAGTGATCACGTTTTACTGTTCAGCACTTTAAGTTTTCAATAAAAAAATAATTGGGCCATCATGATTCTAGAGATTTCTTAGAACTTTCACATCCACCTCACCTGGAACAGGTGCTTAATCGAAACTATCAAAACTATGTGATTTCCAATCCGAACATGTTAGACAGGACACATCGTGCAGTGACTGACGTTTCCCTTTAATCGCTGATTTTCAATTGCTATGCAGTGTTTTCTTTACAGATGGCAGGCCGTTGATATTTAAAAGTCTCAATTTTAGTCTCTTGGCATCTCAAAGGACACCCCAGACTGTCACAATTTCATTCAGTATCACCTCAGGTCGCACTCATGCTACGAGAATAATGGGATCAAGTCACTTCCACGCTCCATAACAGGGATTTATAGGAAAATCAAAAGTGGGACTTGCCGCTTGAGGGGGTAGGAGCTGGCTCGGGGAGATAGAAGAGAGCTACGAGGAGGACGAGCGGCGAGAAATGTATTCCTTTTAAGAAAGGGAGTGGGGGGGGGGGTAAGAGGAACGGTCTCTCAGGTCAGAGGCGGGGGGGGGGGGGTACTTGAGCGTTGGGTTGGAACACTGTACTCCAGGCTTCATGGAGCTAGCAGTCAGACCAAGACCCTGAAGCCTCTCCAAGCCCCACTCCTCTGTGATCGGAGGAGCTATTGGAAACACTTTCATTTTGAACCCCCCCCCCTCCTGGCCCCCTTAAATTCAGAGGGTGGCGGAGAGTAAGAGCCTGTATGAGATTGTGACTGCATGGTCAAAATGATTGCGTGGAAAATAATTATTAGTTGGTTCAAACACCAGTTTAACTGGTTGGTTTCCAGGGTTAGCCAACTGGCACTTTTCTTTTCATGTGCTGAATTTTTAATTTTATTTTCCTACAACTGCGGCATACCTGGGAGTTGGATACTGGAAAACGCATAAAAAAAGGGATTTGTTCTCAAATTACAGCTGCATCATCTCAAGAGGCATCGACACTGAAATACAGAATTTGGTGTACTATACAACATCTGTGTGGAGTTGTGTCAGAGGCACCTTTCTTTTAGTCTGTCACCCCCGTTCAACAGAAAAAGAAAAAAAAGAAATGAGTTAACTGAGCTAACATACACCAGAGGGGACATTTAGAGTTGGATGCTAAACCCCATGTGGGTTTGTCACTGTAATTAACTACTTTCACATTACAAACGGGCGGAACATCTCTGGTTCTGAAATACAGAAGTGCCTTAAACTTACAATATTTCTAATAACCAGTACGGGGTGGAATCCTCTGGTTGTGGGAAATAAACCACACAATGTTTATTTGGTAAATCATGGTCTATTAAACAAACCTAAAAAACAGATAATGCTTAAGGGAAGGGAAACCTTTTGATTGAAAGTATAAACGTTTTAAAACTCAGTGTTGCGACCTTACACAGAAAGTTAGTAGTAACATTCATGGTCACCCATAATGTCATGTTTAGCCTTCAGGTGTGCTGAAGCTGTACAAATAACAAAGACTAAAAAGATTTAAAGTGCCAGTCCTCAAACCAACGTGTGACCACATGGCCACTGCGTCTACATCTCATATAGTCTGTGCGTTATTCATTCATAAAACCATATGCAGTGTTCCAATTTTTTTTCATATTTAAATAAGTCTGTTAAATTCCAGGGAAATTGGCTTCCCCCTCATGAAGATATTTATTCCCACTTGGCAGAATGTATAAGCAACTCATTACATTTGTTTCCAGTGTCCTAGCAGCGAGGAGGGAGGAGAGAGAGGGGAGAGGGGGAGATGGGGGGTGAGGGGGGGGTAAGGGGGGGCATTGTTGCCACTATATTTAATTACACCAAATCCATTCTTAAGGTCCAAAGAAAACAGAACAGTTATAAACAGTTTCTCTGATGAGCTTAGTTAAGATTGATTAATTATTTCAATTACCCAAATGGAATAAGAACACAACTCATATTTTGACCCGTACAGATTATTAATTCAATAAACGCACACAGCTCTTTGAATAAGCAATCCGGGGAGAGCCACTTTGATTTTTATTCATATGCATGGTGCCTCCGCTGTCTTCAGAGATTCAAGAGTGCAAAAGGAAGACAGTTGAACTTCGTACCAGTCATATCGGAGTCAAGGTTGCACGGCCCCGTTTACAATATTTTGTGGTCCCTGGAACCGAGACGGCTGAACAGAAGACGTACGGTTTAGGACACAGAGACATCCCAGTTTCCACTGCGTTAACAACCCCCCCTATTTCCCCCGCTGTGTCATTTTTGAGCATCAGATCAGTGTGTACACACAGGTCATTTAGAGACTTCAAAGTTCAGCCTCGGGGGGGGGGGGGGGGGGGGGGGAATGTCTCAAATTCCACTAAACTCTCCGGGAGGGGCTGGAGGCGCGGCAGATAAAAAGCTTAAAACGCCAAACAGCAGACGAATGTGGCGCCCGGTTCGGGCCCCTCCCGCCGTGGCTGGATAAATGTGTTTCAACCTTTGCCGCCGAACTTTAATCGTTTGGATTTCCCCGTAGCGGTGCATCCGTCGCCAGGGAAGCGGATCGACGCTGGAGTCGTTTCTAACGTCACGCCGGCCCCGGACGACACCGTTGAGGAGAAGGAGAAGGAACGAGAGACGCTGCTCAAGTAGCGAGTGGTCAGACGGCCCGCTGCTCTCCCCGACACATCACCAGAGAGCCAAAGCTGGGACCTGAAAAGATTGAGGGGGGGGGGGCTCCCACGGAAGTGGAGGTTGCCTAAAAGACTAACACAAATTTCACATTTGCTTGGCGCCAGTTTGAGATTGTATGACTCTGCGTCCGGTTTGTTCTCCCGCGCTGATGTTTTCTGTGGCGCCGTCCCGGCAGACAGCCTGATCTCGTCGCCATTCTGCCTCCCACGCAGTTCATTGTTCACACTCTGACAAAGTCGCACCACATGTCCTTGGGGTAATGTCATTTTACATCACAACACAATGGCGGGCCACATTGTGAGTGATAGCGTAGCTCTTCCCTCCGCACACTGAAAGAGCATGACTCTGGACTCGGGACTCGCCCGTCCATAAATCACACGTGATTCAATACAGAGAGCAGAGCACCTATAGGCTTAGGATACAGCATACATAAATATGTGAACAGGGGTGGTTTCTTTGATACCAATGCGTTCTAACCTCGGTTCGATATTGCACGCGTGTACTTGAGATACAGCTTCCTCTATTCTTGCAAAATCCACACATTCCTTTTAGGAAATATAGGATGTGTTGCTTTAAATGTAGAGCCGAGCAACCAGCAACCAGGGTAAAACCTCCATGGCCTTCATCCTGCAGGAAAACACCTACAAGCGTGTTACACACAGGAGCCGTGTGAAGAACACTAAAATCCTCAGATTCCTTTTCCATGAGCAGCAGAACATGTGCCACGGTCACACTTCAAAATGAGCTAATGAATGCGTTATTGATGCACGCCGACATGACGTTGCACCGTGCCATTAAGCGCTAATGTGTTCGCCTCAAGGTTAGAGATTGGAGTTTTGAGACATGGATGTCGCTAGCTTGTTTTCCTCAGGACCAAACACACAGGGGCAATGTCTTGAACAAATTTAATGAGCAATGTATTTTCTTTTAGGGACCGCTAGTACTAATGCTCTTGTAAGCAAAGCAATTAAGCAGCGACTGCTTCACTGAGATCGCTTTCGGTGCCAGCGGTGGAAGAGTGCAGCTCTCACATACGCATGTGTTCGGATCACAGAGAAAACACAACATACAGCTTTGGGTGTAGTCCATCTGCTCCTTATGGTGGTGGTAATGTGGGTGTCGGCAAAAGTGAATTGAACCAATGTTCAGAACGATTTATAACAATTTGCCTTCAGCTGAGACGGCTAAACAGGCGAGACTGTAAAGGGAAAATGAGATTATCATGTCGACACACAGAAAGTCCAGCGAGAACACACAGGCTTTACTTCTTTAAGTCTTCAAGGTACTCAACGCAGAGGCCGTCTAAATATGTGATATGTGTTTTATTTCTATTAAAGCCTTCTCTCACAAATGAAGGAACAGATTTTCCCCCGAAGTGAAACAGAAAAAAAGCAATCTGGCCAACGTTAGCTTAGAATAAAAAACACACATTTTAGATCGCTCTTGCTTCCGTCTTAAAGAAATCAATTGTTGGCCCTGGTGTTTATGAATTAATCTGGGGTCATGCATCCATAATTATATTATGTTGTAATTATAATTATTGACCTATGAATAAATAATGACTATTTTTGTATGTATTATTATTGTTATTTGCACATTGTTTTTTAGGCCTGTAGGACAACTTTAAAAACTCCGTGGCCCCTTTAAGTTGGTTCAGCTATTAAATGCAATCCAAAGCCCAGTCTCACAAATTACATTTTTATGAGTCTTTAAGGTCTTTAAGGTCAACTACTTATCGAGGGGACTTTTCCACCAGGTTATGCTTATTTTTGACATGTTTAAAATGTCTCTCATCGAAGTCTGTGGAGGAGGATGGATCTAAAAAGTAATGTATCTTAACCCAAAACAAAATCTTTAGCTACAGTATTTGGTTGTAAAAACAACAGTCAACAGTCAAAGGTTTAGACACAATTTCTCATTGTGATAAATTATCGTTGGTGTTGTGCCTGTTTGTCATTGGGGTGGACACAATACAAAACACCAAACCAAATAACTGAATGCTTCATCCAGTTTTGAATTAATATTCCAATCACTCTGTCTTTGAAATGAGAGCCATCAAACAAATGCTTTTTCATTAAGAAAGTGGGTTACAGCATTATTGTTAATGTCCAGGACTCATTATTACCAGTCTATTGATCGCAGAAAAAGCGCACATGGTGAATTTTTCGCTGTCGTTGCTGTCATCTTGGTGGCCAAGCTGTACAAATGACAAACCTCCAAATATTGGTGGAGGGGAACTGTCTTCCGTCCTGCAGCACTCTGTTCCAGCCATTCCAATGAAAGCACATTGTCTACACATGAATAGCCCATTCAATAAAAGGTGCTGAAGACGTAAAGGCTTGCTGCTGCACACGTCTCAAACTAACTTCCCTTCAGACTAAAATAAGCACTGCACAATGTCTTACCTTCTTCAGTCGAAGAATCCCCTCTTGTGTTTGGCCGTCTGTGACTATCTCGAACATGCCTTGGTCATCGCCCTCGATGATGCTGTACGTCGACTTGGAATTCTCGCCGATGTCTCTGTCGTTTGCTTTGACCTTGCCGCCCATTTTCCCTACGGGTAGATCTTCTGGGATCACAAACTCATACAGACCTGTGGAGGGACGGACACAGCGCTTTGGTTTCGAGACATGCTGATCAAATTAAAAACAATCATGGAAGCAGACAGTACAGCATCATCATTAGACTTCACGGCAGAAAGAACACGTTACCGTGGAGCCTGTTTAATCAAATTTACCAAATAGCATTCATTTCCCCCAATGATGACAAAACAGAGAAATAACAGCGGCAATTTGTTACTCCTCTAGATTTGATGTGGGACATTCAAGGTCGTGAAGTTCCTCACTTTTGGAGAACTTTGGTGGATTGTCGTTGATGTCCATCAGCGTGACGGTGACAGTCGTGGTCCCAGACAGGCCGCCCATGTGTCCTCCCATGTCCTTAGCCTGAATGACCACCAGGTACTCCTCTCTCATCTCCCGATCCATCCCATGGAGAGCAATTTTTATGGTCCCTGGAGGTAGGAACACATAAAGGCAATTATAAACATGACTGATATACTCTGCACATCATTTTAATGATGTTCATGCTCATGTGCATGAGAAGAAAGTAGAGAGGCACGCTGTGACCTTCACGCCCACTTCACTCCTCGGTTTTTAGGTTGCATTTCTTAAAACGGTGACTTTACAAAACTAGGATTTTATATGATGCATTTCATATGATAAATAAAAAGGAAGAAGCCCTGCAGGTATAACCACAGCTTGGCAAGGTGGTCATGACGAGCCATTCCCTGCACTGAGAATCAGCTGTTTGTCTTTGAATGAGCGGTTCTGCCGTCTGCAGTCATTTGTATTCTGAACGAGTGTGAACTATGCTGCCTGCCTTGTATAATCTTGAATATTGTATGCAGAATGGACCTTATTGACTCTGCCACGGCACTGAAAATGAAAAGGGCTCAGCGCCGGCGTATACGGATAATCCACTCAGGAAACAGAGGCCTGCAGGATCATCAAATGAATATAAAACCCCTCATAAAAGCCAGGCTTTGGCATGACACCCCGCTTCGGTCCTGAAATGACTTAGACAATGACAATATGCTGAGCTGTGATGGAAAATGTGGGAGGCTCGTGTTGTCTGGGCCCGCATTTTTAATTATTGTGATAGATATTTGCCACGGGATGTAGCAGAAATTCAGGGTCGGTTTGGCTTTTGGAGGTCACGCTGAGCGCTGATTACCTGAAAAAAGGGCTCAGTGCTATGAAACAAAATGTCTACTATGACTCATTAATATGTCTGCATTAAAAGAAGGAATACCTGAATAAACAGGTGTCTCTTTAAATACATTGCAGCAAGCACTGTGTTTTTGAAAATGTCTAAAAAAAAAACCAATGTTGTATCAGTTGGATCTATAAATTCAGGAAAGATGTGAAAGTTGACTTCAACATTTTTTGTCGACGTTGTATTTTACAGAGTTTCTGTGTTTGGAATTAGAGCCTTGTTTTTGGTCATGATTTGGCTTTGCTTCATCGTTGCTCGGATGCGATCGGTTATTTATGTTTTTGTGTGATGTTACTCCGCTGTGGCTAAATTATACCCAGAGAGGTCCATCTTCCTGTCAGGCTTCTTAAAAATGAACTGTAGTAAACAACAGATATATTAAACCATAAATGCTTTATTATATCTGCCTGAAACTACAAAAGTGCTCAGTGAAGTGCTCTCATGCAGTAAATCCAGAGAACCTTAAAGTGTTCTTACTCTTTTTTTTTGCTCTCTGAATCTGCAACCCAAGTGCACTTGTAGTATATTGCCTCACTCGTCCTTGAAAATGCACACAGAAGGTGTAAGAAGAACAGAAGCAATTGAAAACAAATGTGACCTGAAATTTGAGAAAGAATCGGCGGCAGTTTAAAAGAAATAACTGTAAAACATTAAACAATGAAAGTGTTGATTTAAAATGCTCTATTATTCTCGCACCCTGTTCTCCTGTTTGCTCTCCGTGGAGCAACGGCTGAACCTTAATGTGCAAAAGCAACACTTAAACTGCAAATGTTGTATCTTTTGACTGGTCTTAGGCTGGCATCAAAACGTAGAACTGTCTCTCTTCTACTTTGGGAAAACCAAATACACACGACACAAACAAGTCACCTCCCTCCTCCACACACACACACACACACACACACACACACACACACAGTTCAGTCATCATGCTAGAAGCAACACTCTCATCTCTGTTGATCATCGTTAATTATTCAAATTAATTCCTAATCACTGGAAAGGGAGGATAGACAAACATTCATTTCCATAGATATTTCCCTCAACTTCTTTTTTCGTTCTTTCTTTCATTCTTCACCGACCATTAACCAAGTGATGAATTGAGGTATGGTGTTTACTTATTTATTGAATGTGTTTTATTACCAATGTGGCGTGGTACGTGTTGAACGGATTCTCATGGTTGTCTTCCCCCAACCTTTTATTTTTCATCAACATTCATTAAAACATCTGGCTCACATGAATGGGCCATCTGCATGTGCTCCGCAATCACACAGAGCACGATCGCTAATCCCTAAATTGTCCGCTCAGTGCGTCGTGCAAAGCCGCGTCCCGGCTGCAGATGTGTTCTGCGTTTCGAGGGCGAGCCCGATTTCGACGGGAGGGTTGGCCCCTGATTATGCACATAAATTTGGAGAGTCCCTTTCTTGGAGCTTGTTTATTGTGCGCCGTTTCCCCAAAAGTATGAGCAGTCGATTTCCATCTCATTTCTTATTAATGTCATTTCACCATTATTTAATCATATTGCTTACAGACACATGTTAGAAAGTCAGCTGCAAAAGCAATTAAAGATCCAATCTGGGAGCTGTTTTGAGATAACTTCATGCATGATGACGCTGCTGAGGAGTTTGCCTTGTGAAAGGGAGAAGCCACTATTATCATTATTATTTTGAGTTCATTTTACGCATTGATGTTATAGCGTATGAGCACTGGCCCATTTAGCATTTGCGGCGACCAATCGGCAAACGGAATCCCGCAACTCAGAGGTGCCCGCATGAATGTGAAACCTCTAATTTAGTGTATTTAATGATGAATTTCCATGGGACCGGTTGTTGAACCATGCCGCTGATGATCAGTTGACCCAACCCAACCAGGAAACGCACAACGGAGGAGCCGTTGTGTTTGTCTGGATGTGTCCCCCTGATAACGGCTCACTGGTGTCCTCAGCCGCCTCCATGCGTGCCCTTTGCTGCCTGTGTATCGGTGGTATTCAGCAGGCCCGGGGGGGATTGTATTATCCAGATCCCACCGATGTGTCAGTAACAACGTGTCGCCGCGATGCTTTCCGTGAGGGACGTCAGGTGCCGGAACAGCTGCCGGAGAAGCGTGACGAAGGTCCCTGCGAGATCGGAACATCATCGCAATGCATTCATTTGGAGCCGCGTACGCAAGTTAAGGGGGGGATTTATTTCTGTTTCACATCAGCTGTGTGGGGGCTTTCTACTCATTCACCCAGATTAACACACTTTCCCTGCGTGATTTCATGTTCCTCTTTTTTTAGTACTACTCAACATTTCCCTCCCCCCCGGTATACCGCTCTTGTTTGGAAACGATAAGTGTGCAGCTGTGGAGGGACGGCTGCAGAGAAAGGGGACGTGAGGCCCGGGGAGCCCGAGTTAACAGCAGCCTCATGTGGCCGTAATCTACCAGCGTCTCACACAAACAGATGGGCCGCATTACCTGCGGGTCTGCTGTGATTGTTACACACAACTTTTATAAACCAACACTGGCAGCTTCAAGACCAGAGGTTAGGCAGACATGAACATGCTGGGGAGCAACGTGGTATCCGTGGGGTCTTACTCATTCATTTCTATTCTAAATGCATGTTTTTTTATAAGAATGCACCGCGTCACCCCTTGAGGGCCGAGCCATTGCAGCACAGCTTGCTGGGACCTTCACAACCTGTCGCACCTGTGCGCAGCTCTCGTGTGCGCTAATCGCACCGCGTCACAACTACACCGGCTTTCTTTTGCATCTTTTTCAAATGCACATGTGTTGATTCCGTATAGACCCACAAATATTACATCAGATATATGAAAGAGATGTAAATGTATTACCATGTTTTATGGATGTTTTGTTGCGGTTTCATTTCATTTTTAGATGTTACAGTTTACACAGTAGCATCTACATAACCGTCAATCATATGTTAATGAATTTTTCATTAAGTAATCATGTCTTTCCAGCAATGGATCTATTAATCGGTATTATTTTGAAACTGCTGCTTTCCAATGTCCGCCACCCGCCATCGAAACAAAGCCACCAAGTGAAACTGCGGCCTCTGCACTAATCACAAAGTAAGAAAGTAAGTGTGTGGCCCTGAGTCCACATTCTGTAATGCGCTGAATGATCGGCGTCACACAGCAGCAGGAAGCATACCTTCTGCACTATAACGATGGGCAGCAGAGCTATTGCTCACAATGGAAGGGTAATGACGTTCTGTACTTTTCAGAAGCAAAAACACCCCGTTCAGCCCGCTTCTTGACCTGAGGTGACAAAGTAAGCTCATTTATCTGTCGGAGCAGGTAATGAAAGAGGACAATGTTTAAATACAGAGAGGTTCTGGCCTGGTGTGACTGACCCCACCGAGAAGAAAGAAGCCGAGGAAATAACCCTGAGATGTAATCACTGGCTCTCTCTGTTAAGCCTATTTTTTGTCTCCTTTTTGTCCCGTTGTGGGCGTGGCGTTCATTTATTACATTCTGTAATACATTACGCTCCCCATTGGTTGGAAACAGACAAAGGATGTGTGTGCGCGCGCGTCTTAATAGCTCCCATTAAATTTGATAAAGAACGTTTGGATCGCGTGGAGATCTTGGTCAGGCTTTGTCGGGCAAACAATGAGGAAGGGCACAAAGAACTTTGAATGTACCGAAGAGGTGTCCTCCTTTTGTGTGCCCTCCTTTTTTTTCAAGTTGTAGCAAACACACTGGAACTGTGTTATTGCTTGTAATATTCATAGTGTGATACCTGAACTGCTTGCAGTGAGCGGCGTGATACGGCCCTGCTGCAGAGGAGCCACCGTTCTCCACCATGTGTGTGCCGTTTGGTCCTCAAATGAGATTTTAACACACCATCAAGCACACGGCACCATACTCACCGGAGTTGGGTTCTACAGAGAAATACGGTTGCCCCTCCAGTATACTGTAGACCAGTTTAGCGCTGTTCCCGTACACCGGATCATCGGCATCTGTTGCTGTTACCCGGGTAACCGGGGTACCTGTGGGGCAGAAAGACAGAGTCCGGAACTGTAACTCTATAGGCAATCATCTCTACATAGCTGTGGCAATCAGTGTGATATCTTTTCCACACTCCTTGGGGTTGATTTGTTAAAGAAAAAGAAAAAAATCCTGTGGCATCTGGATCAGAATTGCTTCACAGCTCACAATGCAATGCTGCTCGCATTCTTTGAAATGTCGGCAGTGTGTGTGAAATCTATTTTCTTTCTTTTTTACAGTGAAGTACAGAAGAGAAGTGCAGCTGGACAAAGTGGTTCATTTGATCAAAACAATATACGTAACATTAAACGTCTGCAATGGTTTGGGTCCTCTTCATGTGGACCTTTATGCATACTAGCAGACCAAGTGACATCATAAAACAGGCAAAGTGCAATGCAGGTAACAACATGACCCTCTGCTCACCCTTTCCTTTCCAAGTGCGTCAAAGAACTACAGGGTTTTTCCACTGGCGATGGAGATCAGACTGCTGAAGACAGCTGTTACTTATGTTTATTTCTAAACCTGTATCATTAGTCGAGTGGAAGCATGCCGAGCTGTGCCATTTTATCCGAGCGGGAATCGGATGAGAGAGCGCGGACGGAGCCTTTTTTGTCACATGTTTGTAAAATGGCGTTCCGCCTAACTGAGCATCACCTGTCATTGGAGGTTAGCCAATTAGCCTTGTGTTATTCTAATTTCTATTGGACATGTTAGCCTGTGTGCTAATCGGTAGACATGAATGTGTCACACACGTATTGCAAGCCAGCAGGGAGGGAAAAGTAAACTGAGTCAACTAATGGCCAGGATTTACCTGCAGAGTACAAAGGTAACAGAGTTCCTGAAGGTCATGGTCAAGGACACGTGAACCAAGGTGTTTGAGACACGTCGCTTGGAGCAAACGCTCTGTCGTAGCGGACCAAGAAATGACTTCTTCAAAGAGTTTGTCCAATTAAAAGTTTGGCTATGATAATGTAATGAACATTAGCTGTTGACACATGTGTTCTTAAAATGCTTATTGGGTATCATTCTGACCCGTTTCAGAGTATGAAAATCAAGAAAAATATTTGAAACTTTGTTTTTCTCAATGAAACTTGTTCTGCATGCCTCCATTAGTTTAATCTATGTAAAAAAAATACTGTTCATATAAAATAGATAGATGCTTGGGTAAACAAACACAGATACTATTTTGACTTGCCGGGGGGGGGGAGGAAACATAGTAATGGGTCCCACCAACATGACACTGTGCACTCTGATACTGAGAACAGCAGCTTTCAATAGAACAACACGAGCAGCAGAGAGAAAGGGATGACAGCCCTGGAGGCTCTGGAGCTCCTCCTCCATCACAGTAGTGATACAGAGGAGGACGTTTCTGAGGATCGTGAAGATTATGCCTCATTCGGCTGGATTTTGAGTGAGCGGGTCATTATGACCCGAGCAGCAGAGGTGTCTCATCCCCGTTCGTCTACATCACCCCATCAACAAAAATGTATTAGGCTTTTGCAGTGTACCTTAAAAAACAGTTGTAACATTTATTTTTCATAAAAAGAGTGAGTTATCCTAATTTAACTGTGATCTATTGCGGTGTGAAGGACTCCATTCCACTAAATACTGTTTTGTTAGTGCAGGTGTTGCGGTACAGACTATATTTCTTAGATTTTTTGGTTTCTGACAACTTTTGGATGATTAATTTCCACCAGGGAACATTAATGCTGTACCTTAAAAAGGAACATTACAGCGGAGGGGGGGGGTACTTAACACTGGAGCAATTAGCCGTCACCTTCACGCCAACAATGCCAGATGTAGTAAAAGTGGTGTCCTTTATCCCACCGTCTCTATGAGCTCTATGGGAACTGTGCGCAAGGTCTTTCATGAATACGCCAGCTTTGCCGAGCGCTCAAGGCGAATCACAAAAACAGATTAGTGACAATTCAATCCACGGCTCCATTATGAGGTATCAGGGAGAAAATGCATTGAAAAACTGAATATAAAGAGACTATTAAAGCAATTAAACTCATTTTAATTCACAGTGACCTAGCTCCTCATCAGTCTCAGTGTGATGGAGTATGTGTGTGTGTGGGGGGGGGGGAGGAGAGGAAAGTAGCTGACGTGCTGACAGCCAGCAACCAGCTGGCAGGAAGCTACAGATGGTATGCTAATTGTTTCTGTGAGAGATGTTTAAAGGTGTCCTGACAACAAAGGGAGGCGTCCCTGGTCGCAGGCGGCGCAGGTCCCGCCACTGGCGCCAGCGTCTGTCCGCTGCAGATGAAAAGGCCTGTGGTGAAGACCCGCCGCCCAGTTCTGGCTCAGACATCGTGATTCAGAGGTTTCAGTCATGAATAAACAACATGAAAATAATAAAGTGCCAGATGTGTTGGAAGCAAAATCACTGCCCATCCTGGGCATCTGTTCACTAACGGACGGCTGCCATTACAAGCTCCGAGACAACGTCCATCCGACCTGCCGACCGACGTGCAGCACAGGGGTGACGTAGGTACTCTGCCCACCGCCGACCCCCCCTGAGGAGGATAGTTCAAAGATGGGAAGGGCTGGAGAAGTACGTTATCAAAAAGTCTTCAATGAGAAAGTGTGTTCAGACTTTGACTGGTACTGTACGCTTGAGTTTTTATGAAATAGTATAGTATTCTGTCTACTTAGTGTCATTGCAGCGAGTGCAACACGCTACGGTTGTTGTAGTTTTTCTCTCTTTTGAGCCAAAGGGAACACAGCGTCTCTTTTCTACGTTCATTCTGGTCCTGCAGCACCAATTTCAGATACATTTATGAAAACACCATCCATCAAGTGAAATACGTCTGCGTGATACATCCATTCAAAAAGTTCAAAAAGAACTCATGGGAATACAGCTTTTATCCCCATTCCCAATAATTCAACTCCAAGGGCATTTCACACAGAGCACCAAACCAAAGTATCTCAGACCAGTGCAGTTTTCTTGCCATTTATGACGTCAGCTACATGAGGCAGCCATTGATTAATAGTCCCCGCCGCAGTCTGTGGTCTTGTAACAGCAAAACAAAGCAAAAGCCACCTTTGCACTCTAACTGGTGGAGCAGTTTCAATGTTGCAACCCAATTATTTCACAGTGAGAGAGCCTCAAGTGGTCCCCCGAGACAGAGGTGTTCTAGTAATTCACAGTCTTATGATGACCTATGCTTTTGTGTTGCCAAAGCTTACTTTGTAAATTCCGTAGCACTTGTTAGACCTCATGCCTTTTTTTTTTTTGCAGCTTTAAGGTCACAGCAGATCATTGAGCTCTCTTTCTTCGCCTCGAGAAAAAGTCTTTCCATGATTCTACTAACCGTCTGCACACTCTCAATTTACCTCATTTCACAACGAGGTTATCCATGTGCTATCTGCAGATGCCGTTCAAAAAGACTGCTGTAATGGACTTCTGAAGACACGTTAAGATAAGTCGAAACACTTTGAAATAAATGGGAACGCAGAATGTAAGGCCACATCTCACCAATGTCTGCAGTTATCCAAATCGGTGTACTCATGCAGAAGCAAATTATATTATGTGCCACAGGCGTTTGCTAATTGTCAAACGAACAAAATTGAAAGACAGCTAAATAAATTGCCCCTCCTTCTTTTCCAGAGTTGCAGAGCCTTATCTGGCATAGAGTTAAATTACTACCACACAGGGAGAAGGCAGCGATCAGCACACCGCTAATCATGAAAAGTACCTTCGTACTCCTCTAAAGGTGTGTGGCTATTGCAAACAGGCTTCATAAATTCAGTTACGCTGCGTACAGCGGCGGGGGGAGTAGAGGGTGTGGGTGAAGAAGAAAAGAAAAATCTTCATAAAAACAGTGGAGCCGGTGAAGCATGAAATAGCTCCCTCTTTCTTCCTTTCCCACAGGGGGGAAATGCTCCTCACCAGCCCGATCATTTTTTTTTTAAATGAGGGATTAGGGAAGCCGGTGTTTTGGTCCTGTTTCAAATCAGTGCAGATTAGCTTGTCCTTCCCCCTGATAATTTAGAAAGGGACTCTGCAGGAATGGATGCGCAGGAACTCGATTGTAGGAGGAGTATTGTCTCTGGCTTTTATCCGAAGCCTGTAGCATTGTGGCCATTACAAAAATAGTAACACAACAGATCTGAAGTTACACGGATGGTAAAAAATAAAGGAATTGTTACTAAAAACAAAAAGCGGTACAGGAAGGACGAAGGTACGTTGAAAGACCAATTGGAAATGTTTCCTCACGATGCATCTTTCCTGAACAGTGTTAGTGGAAATAGCCGCACACATGTTACTTCCTGTCTAAATGGAATTGCCTCTCACTTTTCCCACCGGCTGTCGAGCAAATGCCGGACACTGAGAGATTACAAATAGATGTCCTCCGGGACAGCAAATCTCCCTTTTGTTGCTTTCGGGCAGCAGCCTGGGGAGTGACACGCGTTACTCCTGTATCAAACCACAGCCTGATTCAAAGCAACACCATTAATTCAAATACACATCATTTTCAAAGCTCTGTCATTTCCCTGAATTTACAGCTGTGGTTTTATTGTTGTGTTGATGGGCCAGCAGTTTCTAAGGGTCCCCAGAATAAAGTCATGGAGAACGGGTGTCTAGCCTCGTCTTTTATTAGCAGACAGAAATAATATAGCACACACTTCCTATTTACTCTGCAAACTGGCTCGGTGATAGCAAATCAATAGGAATCTTCCTTGAACCAGAGAGGGGATAAATTGGGGGATGCGGCCCAGTGTGAAGCAATATGGCTGTGGACGGACTTCGAAGCTCATTCCTGTAACATATAATCCAGCGCAGCATCATCTGTGTCGCCTGCTTGTTTCCTTTAGAATTAATCGTGAGAATGAACAGTGGGAGGTCGTACAGATCGTACAGACCCACCGTAATCACTTCATTTGCAGCTCCATCCACACATTTCAATGAACCTGACTAGAGGTCAACTATTTGTAAACCAACCTCCTCCGTGCCACGATAGAGATGTACCTGCAGGCTCTTCAGACATCTATTGACATA